ACAGGTCTAGCCTGGTCATTCCACCAGCAGTACTCATGACTCATGCCATGACTGGCAAATCATTCCCTAGAGTTAGATTTGTTGTCCGCACAGATGCAATTACTGGTTAAATCACTTGAGAGGCTCCATAATATTTGTTAAATTTAAGTGCAAGTGACCAGCTGTGTAATGTGGACAATGAAAAATCAAACTTTTCTAGCAGGAAGAAGTGTTTGCTTGTTTTTCATACATCTAAAGAAAAAGCACTTTCCCGATGTCTGTATTTAATTAAAATAATAAAAAATATTTTTTCTTTCTGTCAATGCCCATCAAATCTAATATTTAGGCTGTAAAAATAAACTTGTAGTTAGTGGACAGTTTCCTGCATAAAATCGCGTCCAGAAATCTATTGGCAAGCTTATTTTTTTCTATGTATTATTAAGTCCTGTGACATCTGTTTAATAATTTAGAATTTTGTTTGAGTCTTCTAATTAAACTTTTAAAGAAGCCAGTGACTGCTAAGAATGTTCAACTCTCTTATCATTCTATGAATGACATAAAGTAAGAAACGTCACCTTTGTTTACTTGTTGGTAATCAAGGTTGGTATAGCCTCCACATAGGCAAATACCAATGTCAGTACTGAAAACACCTTGTATGACCTAGACTAAATAGTCCTTAGTCCTCCCCACAAAAAAGACAAACATATACCATTACACCCTGCCAATGTTTGTGTTAGACTTTTGGCCAATGACCTACCACAGTATATAACAAACATCAAAGTTAAGTTGTTAATGTCTTTGCACAGCAGCAACATACATGTATCTCAGTGATACCATCTACAGTAAATAGCAAATGTAATGATTATACTTGTAGTGGCTCACTACAAATAATCACTTTGTATTATAATATATATTATTGTAATATTATACAGTACTGTATGAAATAATATACAGTACAATTCAGCAAATTGATGAATGAACTGAATGAGTAAACTTCGATGTCTCAATAAGGCAGTGTGTTGAATGCACATGACTGCCCTGTTGTAGGTCTTCTTGTATTTTCTGGTTTTACATTATGATAATACTCTACATGCCAATTGATTATCCAGTATACAGTATTAAGATCATCATACTGTCACTGAACAATTATTTGTGTGGAACCTATAGAAGACAATAAAAGCAAAAGCAAACAGTGCAGAACACTAGGGCAATATTTTGAGAGCCACAAAAGAGAACACAGACAAGAAGAGCACTTTTTACAAAAGAGAAGAAAAGAAGTATAGGCATCCAACATGTTCTGAATTGTATAGTATATCACCTCCCAGCACCATCATCCCTACATTAAGGCAAAGGATTTGGGGGAATCAATCCCTTCACACTTCTTTCAAAAACTATGGCCTTGTATATAATATTTCTGCAAAATTATGAATACATGGTTATGTAGCTTCTGGGAAAAACTGGCCCTAGAGTGAGAGTGAGTTTGTGTTTGTGTCTCTGTGTGCACTGTGATGGACTAGTGTCCTGTCCACAGTGTATCCTGCCTTGCACACATTGCATTACAAGATGAAGCAGTTAGAAAATGGATGAATGGACTTGTATTATGTTTTAAGAAAAGTAATAGTACCTTGGCTCAGCTTTTCACAGAATTATAACTTCTTACTACAGCCTCTCACTGACAAAACTGATAGCGTCCAAATAAAACACAAATGCAGTAACAGAAAGGTAAGGCCATTCAAACAAAATGAATGTCGTAAACAGGACAATCCTGTTCTGTAAACTGATTTAACCTTTTCTAAATTTAAATTGCATCACTTAAGATCTCAGTCTATTACCTGGCAAAATTCTTTACTTTAAGGACAAGGCTCAACACATTTGAAGTCTGTCAGGCCTGTAAATGCACCAACCCATGGTTTAGTGGACTTTGTCATTTAAACTAGAGAAATAGCCTGACCTTCTTAGCATAAGAATTGATCTCTTAGCATGGCCATTCATTAAATAACTAGAGCATTTTTCACAAGGTTTTATCCTATTTACTGTATACCTCATTTTCAAGGAAGGGCAGAGGTTTAGCATACAGTATGTGGCTTGCTTTATCTTCACATCTTACCTTTGTATGTGTTTGAATTATCACTTGGCTATGTAGTAATCCATATATAATCCTATATATGTATCCTTAATATCCCTAAAGTGCATAAGACTTGGAACATGACAGTATATCACAACTGGTTTTATGTAGAGGAAAATGCAGCCGGCCAGTTGGCATCCTTATAGTGTTCCAAAGTGTTTAGTAGCCTGGCATTACTTAATTTAAGCCATTGAAGTTGGCTTTTTAATTGAGAGTTTTTAACTCTCATAGAGGCATAGAGGAGGCTTTATTTAAAATCTTTAGGATTTTTTTTTATTCCTGTCCCAAGGAAGCTGTCATAATCGTAAGCCCCTCTCCTTAAGGGCGCTCCAGCTCTTTCTTGTTTGTCTCGATTTTGTGCATCTGCCTCCTGTTCCAGCCCCTCCCTACAAAAGCCCCACTATTCCAGGCTCAGCTTTGGAAGATGAACGCCCGGAAGCCTGCCTACCAGAGAGTCCAGGAGAGGCTGGAAGGGCATAGGCTTCGCAGTGGCGTCCTGACCATCTGGATCCAGGGCTTGGAGTGCCTGGCCCTGTTACCCCTTTTATTCCCCCGACCCTTCGTTGGATCCCTCTCCGGCTTTTAACTCCTGTCTTGTCTGTCATGGATGGATTACCCGGCTTTGGACTTTTGCTCATTCCGGATTACCCGACAGACTGCCTTAGGACTTGTTTACCTTGGCCACGCACCACCCCTCACCCCCCCGAGCACCAGCGCACCATCAACATGCCTCCCTGTTCTTCTTCCAGCCCCGATACTAGTCTTTTCCCCCGTGTTAGTTTCACTCCTTTCTGGATTCTGCCATCTGCATAGGGTCCTGAAAAACGCTTTGACAGAAGCCCATGCATTGTTAACTGAAACTACATACAAACATACAGCACATACAAGAAAAGATGCCTTGTTCATGGATTGTAAAACCAGGCACTTGCACTATTGTTGTCACGCCCTCTGTCCTTCCCAACATGCGTGACAGAATGCTGAGCCATTTTCGACCCCGCGAGCGGCGTTTTTTGTTTTTTCCTCAGCTTTTTTTCTTTTTCTCTGGGTTTTTTTTTCGGTTCTTTTATTCTAATCGCAGGATAATACTCCTGACTTCCAAGTCTGTGAGCAGGTCAGTCTGTGTCATGCTGTTTCGACATACACTCCTGAATAACTGGCTTTCCTCGGGTTGTCTCTCCTGGCATCCGTGATTGAATGTTGAGCTGGCTCTCCCATCCTTATTGCTGGATATCACTCCGGTCTTCCGTGTCTGTGAGCGGGTCCTGTACCTGGCTTTCCTCGGGTAGATCACTCCGATATCACTGAAAGTATTCTAAGCTTATTTCCTCTCCCTTTCTAATCGCTGGATATCACTCCGGTCATCTATGTTTGTGAGCGGGTCCTGTGCCTGGCTTTCCTCGGGTTGTCCACTCCGATATCAGCGTTAGTTTGGTGAGTTTTTGGCGGTTCCTCCATTCTCTTTGCTGGATATCTCTCCGGACATCTGTGGCTGTGAGCGGAATATGGTTTGGGTTTCCTCCGGTTGTCCACTCCGATATCAGTGTTAGAATTTGAATGTGCCTATTGCCCAGTCTGCAGTATTTCCTCCCGGGTTTTTTGTTTTTATTCTTGTTTTTGCCTGGTGTTTTGATTTTTCACTTCCTGGTTTCCCCTTCTATTTGGTCCCCCTGACCCCTGTGTCTCGGAACTTTTGTTCCTATCTGTTTTTTGTTGTTTGTCACCCTGGTCTCCCAGGTTTTTGTTTGTTGTGGTTTGTGCTTGTGTACTTGTCTTTTTGTTTTAAGTCTCCGGGGCTCTACTCCACCCCCCCCCCTTCCTCTACCCAATAAAGGTTTATACCTGGAGGAGTGGGCAGCTCTCAGCTGTGGACTCCCAGAGGTATCCTTTCAGTTAAATGAGGTTTTACCTCCCCCCAGTGCTGTCAGGAGCCACCCATTAAAGGGGGGGTACTATCACGCCCTCTGCAGCCAGAGGGCGCTCCTCTTCGCTCAGCATTGACATACAGATATACTGAAACCCGCCTAGCACCAGGTCACCCCACTTCTGTTACCTGAGGGCATAGGTTTCTATACGGCATTTCCTGAACAGCTTAGCTAGGTATAACCCCCGTCTCGCCTCTACGCATAGGGTCTTTTCGCTCTCCTGTCATTCCACGGTTCGTCGTTTCCAACATCTGTGACAATTGTGTCTAGGCACATGCCTGATTGTATTCTTTAATACAAAATGTTCTGTGTTCTGGTAAAATCTATTTCATTAACACAATTCCAAACTCACACTGTGCTTGCAGTATAATCCCCATGTTATGTAAATAAACTGACTGACTGTATAAGGACTACTGTGATATGTGACTGATATGTGACACTTAAAGTGTCTCTCCTCCTATAAATTGTGAAAGCTGAAAAACAAATGTGATAACTAACTTTATTGTATGAAATGATAGCTAAAGTGTGATTTATAACTTAATAAAAAAAATCTCACATAAAGTGAAAGCATGTTAATTTTAACCAGTCCTTTTATTATGAATATTAAACTATACAATATTTAAATTATGCCTGTTAGTTCTTATCATTTATTGTAAATTTCTGAGATTATCCATTACATTGATTAAAAAACAATACACATTTTTTTCTTAGCATGATCAATATAATGTGCCGAGATTTTGAACATAACTGCAGCTCTCTTGCAAAAACATGGCAACTTAAAAGTTACGAATATCAATATCTCTACAGCAATCCTAAACACTGGAGCCCCACAAGGCTGCTGTCTCAGTTCTAGGCTGTACTCCTTGTTCACCTACAACTGCACAGCCACCTACAGCAGCACCCACATCATTAAAATGCAGATGACACCACTTTTATTGGGCTGATCAACAACAACAATGAGTCTGCATACAGGAGTGAGGTGGAGCATGTTACAAGATGGTGTCTTGACAACAATCTGGTCAACAAGACAAAATAACTCATTGTGGACTTTAGGAGACCCAGAGAGAGTCTTGCCCCAATTAGCATTAATGGCACAGCAGTGGAAACTCTCAGCTGCCTCAGGGTCCTCGGCCTGCAGATCTCCAGCAATCTGGCTTGGACTCACAACATTGTAGCCAGTCTGAAAAAGGCACAACAGCACTTGCACTTTCTGCGGTGCTTAAAGAAATGCAGCTTGGGGAAGCCGCAACACCATAAAAAGTGTCCTCACTAGTGGCATCACTGTGTGGTACAGCAGTTCTACCATGGATGACAGAGGTGCACTAGAAAGGGTTGTGGTTACGGCACAGGGGATCATAGGATGTGATTTACCATCAATCAGTGAGATCTACACCATCCATCCCAATCCATCATTCAGGATCCCAGCCATCCTGGCCACAAACTGTTCTCCTCCCTATCCTCTGGCAAGCGGTACTGCACTGTTAAAGAAAGGACCTCCAGACTCAAGACCAGCTTCTATCCCACTGCAGTACACATCCTCAACAGTTAACTGCAGTCCCTCAATACACATATGTACTATGCACTTTTTGTATGGCCTACTGTACCATGAATTTTTGTCTCACTACTACCTGTACATATTTATTGTTCCACAACGTTTTTACATAGTCTACCCTTTTTTTCTCTCAGTCTACTACATATTTATTTATTTTACCACAATATATTTATTGCTCCTGTTGTCTACATTGTTGTCTGTTGTACTGTGTTCTGTATGTCCTGAGAGATCATTGTGATTAGGAATTCCAATGTTTGTGTACATATGGCAATAAACTACTGTTCTCTACTAATCTACTATAGAAAGGAGATTGGGAAAGATGTGGCTTTTGGGAGGCATAAAGCAAACACCTGTCAAATACTTCACACTTCATATCACTGTGGGTGTAACCTATTACCAGAGATTAGGGAATAAATGTTTGATTGTCAAATCCCATCTTAATAAATCCAAGCAGCAGACAAACACTGTATGCAACATACAGTATGAACATCTGGTATAATGATGCACATCTAGTTTAAACTATGTGAAGTCTATAAGAGAACTTGTGATATAGAATATAATTTTTATTTTTTCATTATTTTAGTATAAGGGTGGCAACAAGGTAGGTTATACTATACATGTATACTGTATTACAACAGACAATTTTATTCTGAAGGAAATAAAATGTAAACTACAGAGTAGAAAATCTAAGATTTAAACTTGCATAAAATGAGGATTATGTTCTTTAATTAGGTACTGTATACATGAATGAATATTTTCAGGTTTCTATGCAATACTGAAATACCGTGACTAAAATATTATAAGCAGAGCTATGACTATACTGTACATTACAGAAAGAAATAGCTAACCCCAAAAAAATGTTTAGCTTTTATTATATTGCATGTAAAATGGATTTAAAGTTGGATTTGTGTTGTCACATTTCTTTTCTATTTAATTAATTTGCTGGTAATGGTAAATATTTTTTAAATATTTTTTAATAATAATTACTAGCTCAACTTTAAATATATCAGCAAATCTATACAGTAAAGAAAATAATAGGTCATATTCAAAGTTTATTAGTAAAGGCAGAACATATAATTTGCAATAAATATGGAATAATAAAGAAGAACAAGAAGCAAAGAACACAATGGAATTTTGAATCTCTAATTCCATGGAATTAGAAACAGGAACTAATAGGACATGATTTTGAGGACATTTGGAACAATATGCCAATGTCAATCATAAACAATATTATAGGCATAATTAAGAACAGAGTACAAACAGACAGAAAATAAAAGTTAAAACATAAGCATACAGAATATTAAATCATTTTAGATACATTGATTATATGGTGAAATGTATACATTTACCAGAACATTAGTAAGTGCAATTTATTACCTACCTTCATTAACCTGTTGTTATTTATTTTATTATTTCTTAAATGTATTCTTTCTTAGCTGCTGTAAAGTCTTGAACTTTGTCATAAAAGCTTCTGTATGACCTCTTGAAAATTTCCTCCTAACTTTCCTGAGTGTAGCTATCAACTACTGGTCATGAGATACTTGTCTTAAATCTTCAAGTTCTTCTGCTACTTACTTTATCATTGTATTGACAAGACTTCACTCTGTTTCAACCATATTAAATAGATAATATTCATTTTATCTGATTCAATAATAATTATTATATTATTTATAAGAATTGTATTAAGTGTTTTTGTGTGTGTTTGTGAAAAGTTACAACACTGGATTATCTCAGTGCAACCAATAAAATGTTATGTGAATGCACCTGGGGCATTTAAATTTAAATTATTTTAAATACATCTTGTTTGTGTGTGTTCAAGGAACTAACTAACTTCAAGCACATCACGTATTGGGGAGTTTCAATATGAATTCAACAGAAGTCATTGAAGAGATGCAGTACTGTTTTCAGCACCTGAAAGGATCATGTCCAAAAGTACGCAGGCTTGCAGTTATTAAAGTTGCTATGTACGTGTTTATGGCTGGAACAATATTTGTGGCAGTATGTGGAAATTGTATGGTGATTATTTCCATTTCACATTTCAAACAACTTCATTCTCCATCTAATTTCCTTATCCTTTCTTTAGGATGTGTTGATTGCTTGCTAGGATCACTTATTATGCCTTACAGCATGATAAGATCTGTAGAAAGCTGCTGGTATTTTGGAGAAATATTTTGTGCAATACATTCCAGTCTTGATATGATGATGTCAATAGCATCTATTTTACATCTTGGTTTCATTGCTGCTGATCGATATTTTGCAATATGTGATCCTCTAAGGTATAGAAATAAAATGACCATGTTTAATATAACTCTTTTTATTGTTATAAGCTGGCTTTTTTCTTTTGCATTTGGTTTTGGGGTGGTGCTCTCCAAGGTTAATTTAGCAGGCATTGAGGAGTTTGTTGTTTCAAGCTCTTGTGTTGGCGCATGTATTGTAATTCTTAATAAAGAGTGGGGGATGCTGTCTGCATCAGTAGCATTCATTATTCCAGGAACAGTGATGATATCGCTTTACATAAAGATATTTTTTGTTGCTAGAAGGCATGCCAGAGTCATAAATGCAGCAGCTCCAGTTGATGATAAAAGCAGCATAGCTGATAAAAGGGAAAAAAAAGCTGCAAAGACATTAGGTATCGTAATAGGAGTTTTCCTCCTCTGTTGGTTACCGTTTTTTATTACTATTATTATTGATCCTTTCATTGATTTTTCTACACCTGTAATTGTATTTGATACCCTCATGTGGTTAGGCTACTTTAATTCTGCCTGCAATCCCATGATTTATGGATTTTTTTATCCCTGGTTTCAGAAAGCCTTTAAAATAGTTGTAACAGGGAAGGTTTTCTGTGTTGGTTCTTCATCAATAAATATCTTCACAGACAAATATTAATGCAAAATGCTATGATGTCATACAGTGTTTCCATGTTGAGTTACAGTAGTTCACATACTGTTTCCCAAAGCTACACGCTATTTTAATCATGACAGTAAAGATTATTACAAAATGCATAGTAGCAAATATCACCATAGTAGATGATACTATGATACTATATGATAAACAAGACTATATTGACTAAACAAGACCATAAATGACTTCACAGTGCTGAATAAAGACATTTTATTTACAGGAGATCACTCCTGTAAAGAAGCAAAAGAAGTTCTAGTGACCAGGTTTGATTTGTCAAGACATTTGATCTAACTTTCATGGTAAATTATGTGCAAACTCATAAAAGAGCATGGAAAGAAATCATGCATATGATTCAGTAATGTTCTATAATATAGTAATATTACATGTACAACACATACTGGACAATGTTAATTAAATATGTAAATAGGATAACTGGACAAACATATTTCATGTTACTTAGGCATACTTTATTTTATATTACTACTTTTCATTCCTAATAACCTTTTAGGGAAAATTATTCATGGAATCTTTTGAAATGTTATATTGAGGAACATTTATTTGAAAACTTAAAAACTGCAGAACAACTTTAAAGTGGAATTTAAGTATAAGAATAAGTTATATCCTCCTAACGAATAGCTTGTCCAGAAAATATTAAATAAAATGTTTTTTGCTTTGTTTTTTAAACGGTGACACACAATTTAATTATACACATTTATAACTATTATAATAAATGGGTATAAGATATTTTATTTTAATTGAGAACATGGATTTCCTGACTTGTAACAATTATTATCAATAAAAGTAATAATAATCCTCCACTTTTTTGGAAAAAACCTGTATGAGTTTGTTTCTCTTTAATGCTTTGTGAACTGAAGTCTTTCTGTTCTCCACCTTTCAGACTTAACAGTAACACATGGTACTTGTTGTTGCTCACACTGAAGCACAGATCTGTTTTACTAATGTAGTTGACCTCTAGTTTAAACTATTGTTTGATTAAAACATTTTTATGTTTGTGAACAAAATTTCTGTCAGACTTCCATTATTTAATTGCATGTATATAATAAATATA